CGCCAGAAGGATAAATACCAGACTGTAGAATCTATTTCGCCGGCGGCTGTCCTAATCGCGTCCGATAGAAACACTCCGGTACGTTACTCCTAGATCCAGGTCCCAGCCAAATCAGAAGGTCAAAATTTCTAGGAGAAAACGTCTCTATATTGTTATAAAATGGAAATACAGAGGCTTACGGTATTTTTGTTTCTTCCAGGACTAAATTACTCCGTAGAGTATCTATTACAATAGCTAGTAAGTGACACTAAGTCCAGCAGCCACCGCGTCTATCCAAAAATGTGGCGGTAGCCATATTATATCAAATTTAAACAATATATGTACAGTTCAAAGGCAAACACAAAAACTTCAATATAAGTACAAAATATGGAAAGAATAACAACATACAATGGTAAAATCTCAAATTGGAATCAAATAAAATACCAAAAATGTCAAGAGAAAAAGTCCATCATATCATAGCAAAAATATGTAAACATGGAGGGATTTTCCCAAAAACAAAACATTCAAAAAGAATTCTACATCCTAGGGCAAATTTTAATTGGCTTGTATTATTTTTCTGATTGGGCGCAATCAGCAATTGAGACAAGATACTTGAGATAATATCCATTTCCTAGATTAAGCTTAAAATATCGGTCAATCCACCTGCCAAAACTCGACAACTAGCATCAAAACGTTCTGTGACAAACCTGTCGGGAAATTTTGCTCCCATTCGCCTCGGAATTCCTACAGCTTTTTCAACTTTATAAATTGAAAAAAGGGGAGTCAGAGGACTTACGCCGATTCTCCATCCAGGTTGACAGTAGATAGAGGGTGAATTAGGTGAAGCCACTCTTCGGCGGTTATTAGAGAATTGAGTAATACTTGGATCAAGCGCTTGGAGAACTTAAAGGAAGGTCATGTCAGAAGGTGAATTTCCTTGCGATTAAAGTCGAAATTTCCTGAAAATAGGTAGTTGTCTGAGCATTACTGTAGCAGAAGGTACATAGTATATATTCAATAAGAAGCAGCCCTAGTGTCGTTGCTTTCACAGACAGAAAAGATAGAGTCAAATAAATGAAACTTTAACCAATGCAAATAGCTAATAAACTACAATGATACATTCCATTAATAGGTAGACAAACTTGACAGAAACTCTTTTCACTAAAATTTAAATACAGAACATGACCACTTTGTATACACTAAGTAAAATATGGTTAGACATGTTTTGCCATAGTTTGTTCACTCATAAAGATACTTACTGAGACTGCTAGTGAAATCAGATCAAACAACTGAATCATGCATAAAATATAAAATCGAAACATGAGGTTCAAATATAAATCCAGGTTTGTGAGATGTCTGAAACTATTAGATGCGTCAAAGAACAATCAGTGGAGAAGTTCTTCTTACAGCAGTTGCGTAAGTTCAATTGATAACAATCAGTAGTTACATGATCAAATTCTAAAATGACAGACAACAAATAGAAACCGGAATTCTCCACACTGAATACGGAACAGGTATTTCACCAACGGATAGAAAGAAATAAAGATGATTATCAAGAATGTTAGAATAATACAATTACAGTAATGAAAGATTTGACCGCGACGAATTTATGAAATATCATACAACAATCAAGAGACCGTTTTATGTTTACAATACTCATTGACGATCACTTTTGAATGTTGGTGACTAGTGTAATATTTAGAAGAAACATCTATGCAGTGAATAGTGATGATAGGATTTAGTAGAATTAAGTCCTTTTCATCTTTGCAAGAAACAACCGCCTAGTGACTTAATGATAAGAATTATTGTGAGATTCAAGGTGAACAGTGTAAAATGTTGCACTGGCAGCAAATGAGTAATTTGAAAGTCTTAACGTAAGTAACTAAGAAAATTGGATAGAAAACTGTACACTGAGCACTGTCGTCGTGTGCAAAGATGAGATAAATAAAAATAGAATGTATTGTTGAATCTCATTCGATAGACGTAATACATACGATATAATGTTGTTCGTTCAGAATCGACAATTTTCGACAAGTGATACTTCTAAAGCGCAATTTTTGACAAACTAAATGTTTATGTCCTCAAGTGGTAATAACATGATTTTTCTAGTGGGAAAGCATGAAACTCAGTAAGCAAACAAAACAGTATACAAGTTATGTAATAACCTTTTTGTTCAGTGTATAATGTCAAATGAAATCTTTATTCACACACAAAAGCAGAAATCATAAGAATTCATCTTAAGATTTAGTTCAAGTCCTTCAAGTTGCAGTGTCGCTTTACGGCTAGTCAGTGTCATTACTTAAACTGATGATAGAAGCTAAAGCACTTGAGGGAGTCAACCACTTCACTTATCTCAGAAGCTACGTATGTCCTGGTGAATTTGTTTCTGACAAAATCTTGGCACGGATTCAGAGAAATCAACTCTATAACCAACTCATGTTATTTGTGCCATGAGTGAGACGTCCATCTACCAATTAAAATATGAGTATACTGAGCGACAGTTATCTTTCTTTCCCTTTATGGATGTAAAACATGACCTTTGAAATCGAAGACATAGGTTACGAGTGTTTGGTCATCGATCCACTCAAAACACTGATCTCGTATGTTCAAACCATTGAATGTGTAGTTCTGCAGTTAGACAGAGAGTAATTGGTAAAATTGCCAAATCGATTGACTACTGAGGAGGTCGGAAAATGTATTACATATGCTCATCCACCCTCTTTCTTAATGGTCAATGATGGTTAGTGTAATATGATGTTTGGAGAATCTAGTGGAGGCCAAACCTAACAGTCTGTCCGATTCATATGTTCTTTGACATATTGATATACTCGAAACTATTACGAGTCCACCTTACTCAGTGAACAGAACAAAGTTCAATGATGCAGTTGCACGATAGGCTATTCTAATCTGATTGTTCCAGGTCTCGCTAACTAGAGAAAGAAGTCTTGATAAGACGTAGAGAGAATGTATATCACACTCCCCCAGAAAATATGAGGTCCACCAGCATACAACTCGAGCTTATTTATACTGTGATAAAACGCCCTTGGTGGGAGCCATAAAATAGTGTACTAAAATAATCCATCAACCAATGACAGCGAAGGATTCTCCGAATTGTAAATGTAAGCTGAAGGTCAGTTAAGCATCTTTAGCGCGAAAACACAAAAATTCAAAATTTCAGGAATGAATAACAAAATTAGGACCTTTTGCAAGTGAGCTTTAGTGATCTAACATATAGACTAAATCAAGTAGGTAGATATAAATTACTCGGTTGTAGTCAAAACAATTGTGATAACTAATGGTTGGAGATACTGTTTAGAGTCGTCCACAATGATCATTCATTAATTAACAATACCAGAATAGATGATTTTCGGTATAAGAAGTTAAATAACAGTGAAAACGGATGCGTTCAAAGAAATAGCATGGAATAGAGATCTCTGCTTAGCTAATATGCTATAGATTATTTCTTAACCAATAAATACGAATCAATATAAACCAGTCCTAATAACACTGTTCAATATCCATTCAAATGTGATAAAATACTTCGAACATTGATGATATAAAATATAAACACCTCACACACATGAAATATTACCTACCACTGGGTATCCATTTCATATAAATCGCAATGTAAAGTACAAGTACAAAATGCTATCAATAAAGCTGATAGATACAAATAAGGTCAACCAAATACTGCTAGCAAAAACTACTAACACATTGCATACTGAAATGGCTGGAATAAAGGAGAATTCTGCGAAAGTAAGTAGTATAACTAAGTAGTGAAGCTTACGTTTTAAACAACGAAATCCTAATGAAAAGGAATATGACGAAAAGTGAACCGGAAAAATCAGTAAATTTAACACAACAAGATTATACTTGATAAAAAATTGTCACGTTGACTCCTGTTGAAACTTTGACAAGGAAAGTAAGAAGCATTTTGATTGCAGTTACCCGGAATCTAAGTTTTAAACATTTGGTTGTCTAGTCGATTGTCTACATTGATTCTTCACACGTTTGTTCTACATTTAGGACATATCTCATAAGTGAATTCAGTACAATTTGTAGGGAACTGCAATAGCGTATGACCTCTGTGCGATACTCGCTATTATCTCAACTGCATACGTTTCAAGAGATTCAATTTAGCTGAAGACAGACCTCATCGACGTAATACTGCGTTTGATTCCACATTGACGAGAAGATTTACAACACTCTTTGAGATGACCACGTGTGGTCACGAATAAAATCCAACATAGTCTTCACTTCGGTCAGTTTTGCAATATACATCGAATACACACTGAGTACCTTCAGTACAAGTTGGTGTTCGCTAGATTACAGAAATCTAAAAATCAGGGGGTAAAATCTCCTTGATGTAGGATATTTCGTTATAATTTCTAAATTGCTTAAATCCAATTAGTTCACATACCACTCTCAGATTATCTCTTGAAATGATCTGTATTAACAAATCATCAGTTTCAATCTCAACTCCAGTTCAACCGTAGCTTAACAAAAACATTAAAGCTGATAGGTTAGTTCTAACTAATATTAGATTGATGAAACTCTTGCAATTTGACAAGCATCTACGCTTAGGGGATTCGCTGTTTGATTTTCACAAGATTGATTTTGGTTCTGTGTATATGGAGAAATGAAATATACGTTAGAAAATACCAAGATCTATCTATTTATTTTCAGGATAAAATTTGTTTGCAGAGTGATTTCAGGTCATCATATTGATGTCAAACTTAAATATTCAACATATAAACGTTTATTCAGAATAAATCACTCATTTCACGAATCATATGAAGCTCACCGAATTTTGCATAAAATAAAATGAGACGTGATAATTAATTCATGAGTTATATGGTTGATATGTATAAATAAACTGTCAGTTCATTGAAACAATTTTTTGATCTGAATGACCTTAAATAATTAGTTAAACCGGAAGTACATTTTCCACTATATAAATGATATTGTGCACGAACAGAATATCAAGTAACTGGTAAACTACACAGCAATTAATATCAACCATGTCTTCCCATGAAAGTAAGTAAATTATACTTGTTAAAATTTATGCTTTAATTCTAACTATTGTCATGATTGTGGAAATGAATTGTCCAACAGTGCAGTCTAACATCATGGTATTAGTGAATACCGTACTTATTTGTAGATGACTTGTAAACTGGTAGACATCTAGCATGCTAGTAGTCGAAATAACTGGTGTACGTATCAATGACATTTTATATTATGTCATTAAATGTGGTTGAAGTAGTATAATGTATTTCAATGCGTTGACGATGATCATTTTATGCTTAAAGTCTACTAGGACATACGAAACTACGAGTCTGATGTTGTTTATATTCAGTAATTAAGTACTGTCACAATGTCATGATTACGTTAAATGCACTCATGCTGTGAAGCAATATTGTCTAGCATTTGGAATCTCAGTAAACTACGTCCACTTCTTTCACAAATTCGTCTAACCTATAACAATTACTTTCATGTCAATAGAATAACAGCTAGATCATTGACCATAGTTGGAATTCATAAGCGATTGGGGTCCAGTTCAGAGTAAAAAAAATCAACTTAACACCATCTACTGTAGTTTCAGATCTAAATCGTATTCTACAGAAAAATAATACAAAATTTCTCAATAGGTTTGATTAATCGAATACCATATAAGCTTTCTTGGTATTGATCGCTTTTGTAATCGTAAACTTGCCTCTCCAGACACAAAAACTGTTCATACAGTTTTAGCCAAACGAATTTGTACAGAAGTAGTTTCATTACTAACAGTCATTAAGTCAACTAATAGTCACATACGGCCCCATCGACTTCACTTAGAACTATGGTTAACAGTGAATATGAATTCCAATTATCACGTCAAATTTCACATGAATCCAGGTTAACACTTGTTTCGGTTCATGGGTTTTATTAGATTTATGTTTGAAGTATAATGAAGTAACGCACTCAATTTATAACTGTCCAACTGACGTACCATGTTCAGCTCATGTGTCAAACAGCTAAGCCGTAAGCAACGGATGTCAATCATATTCATTATATGGTTTGAATTCGTGCGTTATAATATACATATATATATATCTTTATATATCTGTATATATATATATATATATATATATATATATATATATATATATATATATATATATCTGTATAATAAATACTAAACTACAATGGATAACTTATTATCAGGTTTCGAGTGTCTGTTTTTAAAACATACACACTCTTCAATATACACACATCAGATGGATGGCTAATTTACACAGTAAACTAAATTAATTGGATTTTTTATATTTTTTGCTTCAGAAGATCATCATCATCATGAACATCATGAACACCATGAATCCGGTCATGGTCATGACAGCAAAGACCACCACGGCAAATCATCTGAACATTGCCACGACAAAGCAGATGGTGCCGGTCATGGATGCCATGATAAAGAACAACATTGTGGAACTGAATGTCATAAACCAGGATCTGGAAAAGACCATGGTGGTCATTAAACATGCCTATCAGAAATTCCTAGATAGTTTATAATTTTACTTCTAATGACTAACATAAAGTAACCATAAACTTTTTATTGATTACTGTTCTAAAATATACATATTTAATGCTTATGCGCTTCTTGACTTTATGTGACTGATTATTTTGTTATTCATCGAGTTGTTAAAGTTAAACCCAGATAAAATAGAATTTCCCGTAGAGATATTCTCATGTGGGATGTCGAGTCGATTCGATTGAAGTTGTAATTATAGTCGTCAAACATTGAGCATCAAATTCAATTGAGTATCTGATGCATTTCTGGTCTCAGAATAAATCAGAAGATTTATCTTCAAACAGACACTGTACGTGATACAAAACCATGAGTAAATAACTATTACGTTATCAGCTTTATTTCACTGTTTCAGTGGTTAGACTTCTGAGCACAAAACTGTGATGAGTAGATGCAGTAGTACTGAACTCAATAAATGAAACAGTAATTCCCAGAACTGTTCGATACGCAATCTAATAAACACGAATGTACCAGCACTCAAGGAGGAGAGAATACAGTGAACACACTTGAAGGTATAACATCGCAATCCGAAGTGGACATGTAACAGTTTACAAAATAACTGTCACTTAGCACAAACATCACAGTATTTATTAAAGTATACCTTCACAAAGCAACTAATCACTTAGTTTCGTTCCCACGAATAATGTCATAAATCTATAGCAAACTATAACAACGGAAATCCATGAAAAGGATCTTAATGTCAGGTATAGAAGATGTATAAGGTTAGAGAGCAGCCTCGAAGTAGTCACACGGCAATATCACAATTCTGTTATTTTCGGCTTTGTAGGCTTACGTAAAACAACCATTGGTCGGTAACGAATACAATTTAACTGAAAATTAATTGAAATGATGAGCACGTTATATTCTACTCTGAACCTGTACCTCGCTCTACACTTTGCTCTTAATAATTTCTTCACATTGCTTCACATGCTTACTTTGCTAATCGTACTTATTATATCCAATAGGTTTTAACTTTTGTCGGTTTACTCTTGCAGTCCTGATATGAAGTTTAGTGATAACTGAACTGAGTAACTGAGTTAGATGCAGTGATATCTATGGTTCACCAAAGATTAATTCTTACTATAAACATATGTACCACATTCATTCAACCGATTTTGACATTTTTAAGAATCCATAGTTTGAATTTGCTAAATTGTTACTTGGATATGCAAGTACTGCAAAATAACCAAAAGTTACAGTTATATTGATAGCTGGTCGGACGATTTCTAATCTCAAGATAAAATTATTCATAAAAATGTTCATTGAAATTGTGTTGAATTGTTGCATTTGTAATTAGAACGCTATAATACACAATTGTTTTACAACTCATAAATAGTTATCTAATCAAAGAGGTAAATTACAGAATCGATCACAGCTTTCCCGTTCCCAGTCGAAATGTTTCATGCATTCTCAATTAAACTGTTAATTCGATAATCCCATTGAATTGTTCTGTAAGATGAATAAGTGGCTAATGAATACCCATACAGTGGTAAACAAAGATTGTTTTATCCTATTTTTCAAAAACTGGAAGATACACATGATTTGTCAGATAAAAAACACTATACTTTGTATAAAGTAAAAAACAATACCATCACAGGTAAGTAGTATGGGAGAAAACCAACACTTCTGTGTTGAGTACAAAGAAAGCAAGGCAGCTGATACGTTTTCTCTTCAATTGTAAAGCGTAATTAAGTGAAAGGTTGCATTTTGTTATTCAGTTATTTGAGCCACAAATGCAGTGTTCATGTAATCTGATGATCTGAGATACATAGGTTTGTGATATGACATATGAATAGATTTATTTGCAAGCTAAAACCTGCACGGACTGATAGAATATGTGCAATGCATAGTGGTATAATTCCACATTGGTATTAATAAATTAGTAATTCATGTAGCCCCAAACTCTGTCATCCATTTCTCGTACCGTTCAACATCACTAGCTGAAACAGATCTGCACACACGTCCGATTGCTTCTTCGAAATCAGCCATTCGTGTCGGCTGATTAAGTGTAGCAGTATTAAGGCCTTTGATTTGCTCAACCGAGAGTCCTTCTATAGCTCGTCGCATAGACATCATTGAAGCATCTCTAAGATAATAAAAAACATACCACAATATTATGTAAGTAGGAAAATATATCAAAGTCAATTTGGAAACTGCAGGAAATATGACTCGTACAAACTTTGAACATTAACGAATGAATATTCGTTTTTTAAAGGTCGGAATTTGAAGTCAGAAGAACTAAGTTACAGTTTATTCGTTTGTGATGACTATCGAAATAGGTTATGATATGCGCAAACGTATGTTCTTTCCATCCTAAAACTGTACTATGGCAGAGATTGATTACAAACAAAGCTTTTTATCGATTTCTCCTCACAATACACTTGACGCGTTAACTGACAAAAATATTAGATTTCTCAATCAGAGTTAATGCTTAGAATGAAACTTAGTAACGATTTACAAGTCCATGAAATAAACTACGGATGACCACACCAATTTCTTTGAAAGATAATAGACAGAATAAATTGATATCATGAATTAAAAGTTATATACAGCGAAAACACCTAGTTATATATACGAGGTGAATCAATAAATGCTTAAATCTCCCAAGTAATTGATGGAGACTGATACCTGTTGAAAAAGCAAATTACATGTTTAAGTTTGTGATCTTTGTTCAACATTATTTCTATCTTCATTCCATCCATATAATCCAGACACCCAGTATTTTTCACCTTACACATTCGTTAGTTCATATATGTGAATTAATAGACCGCAATGCACCTCAAGTAACAGATCATCTACATACGATCAAGCCATTTTTGACAGAGAATAGAACAAACATCATATAATTAATCAATTGTGATTAAGAAATAAAGAAACGTATAGCAATAGGTATTAAGTCCAACAGAAGCTATACAATAAAAACACAAACATCATTAGCTCACAAAATAGATCCGTAGTTCGCATTTCCCCAATACCGATTACCTTACAGAAAGACAATATTTCGTAGTTTATTGTTTAATTTGTCCATTTTATTTCTATAATAGCCTCAGAACACAAGAGTCTGACTCTATGGCCGAGAAATTTGACCAGATTTACTTCGTACTGAAGAGGTGTACAGCTACGGAAACGGGTATATTAACCACAACCAGGTAGTCTACACCTAACAACACAATTCAATTCACTTGCCACTGACTTCATGGATTTGCGCCATGTTTTGCTTTAGCCGTCCCTAGCTTTCTTCGAACTTACTACTAAACAACAGAACATAGCTCGTTAAGGCAGTCCCAACCAACTCAACTGATGAAATTTCAAAACATTTAATAATCTGCTACCCTTACATAGTACTCGATTCCTAACAACAGCATTGCTTACTCGGTGGTCCCAGGATATGCGGACAATGCATCGAATACTAATAACCTACGAGTATCCTCCACTCCTACTGACCGTGTTTCACAGCCAAAAAGTAGGACCGAGCGAATTGATGCTCAGTACACTCGTTAGCAAACGGATATGTAGCCGAAGCTATAAGTGATGCAAGTTGGAAACAGTCAGTCAAACTTTCCGTATCCATGCTGAGATTTTGTCAGTCACCAAGCCATCAGCACAGGTGAGACTCCCAAGATAAGTGAAGCGGTCAACACGCTCAACTGACTCACTCTCTACCACTAGTTCAGGTGGCGATGCAGTCAAATCCTGAAGTAATATTTTTGCATTTCGACGGGGAAAACCGCATCCCAAATATGCTTCCATTGTTGCTCGGGGTGGTCAGAAGACTGCACTTTGTCAGCGCATTCACCAGATAGATCGTAGTGTGAATACGTGCTTTATACAGCTACGTCTAGGTCTGGAAGCAGCCAGGTTTCTTCGAATCTGCTCTTTACGAGCTCTGTTTAGAATTCGAAGTATTATCAAGGCTAACATTTTAGACATTATATTAGACTTATTCCTCTGTGATTGTCACAAGAGGACTTTTGCCCTTTCTTATAGACTGAGACAATCAGTGATTGAAACCAGTCAGATGGAATGACGTTCAGTTCCAAAATTCTAGCTAAGATCTAATTACAATAAAAGACTTCGTAGACGCCAAAAATTGAGATAGACGGGCTGGATTCCGTAAGGAACAATTGTGAACCGACCAAATTGCAACATTACGGATCATTGTAAAACAACCAGTTGAATGGAACACACAACTCTGCATCCACTTCAGTGACTATGAGAAAGCATTTGATAGCGTTGACAGGACAACAATATGGAGGTTTCTTCGACACTACGGCGTGACTGCGAAGATAGTCAACACCATGCGAAATTCTGATGACGGATTAAACTGCTAAGCAGTGCATGGAGGATAGTTCACAGACTCGTTTGAAGTGAAGACCAGTGTCAGGTAAGTTTGCTTACTCTCACCCTTTCTCTTTACCCTGGTGATCGACTGGATTATGAAGACGTCAAGATCTGGAGGGAATCACGGAATACACTGAGTGGCTCGGAAACGGCTGGACGATCTAGGCTTCGTAGATTATCTGGCTATTCTGTCCCACAACTAACAACAAATGCAGGAGAATACGACCAGTGTAGCAGCAGTAGGTCTCAACGTACACAAAGGGAAAAGCAAAATTTTCCGATATAACAGAAAAAGAGGAAGACCAAAAACACATAACGCCAAGAAATGGAGACAGACATGAAAGGAATGAACAATAGTTGAATAGAACCATAAAGGAAGGTCCAGAACAGAATAAGTTAGAGGATGCTGGTCGGCGTTCTATGCTCCATCAGGGATAACAGGTAAGTAACAAGTAAGTAAGTATTTACTTTCAAAGTTATTGATAACAAAATAATTGTAAATTAAACAATTTTCTCATAATCAGTTAAATATTATTTAATGAAATGATCTTTGAAACTGAGAGATAATAATTAAGTGAAAAAAATTGTAATTATTTATGTACCTGCATACATTGGTTATATCTGCACCGGAATAACCATCTAACTGTTCAGCTATATTGTTTAAATCTACATCATCCGCTAATGGAACTTCTTTCAAATTGATTTGCAATAGAATTTTACGCGCAGTTACTGTAGTAAATCGAAATTAAAATGACACGGATTGAGAACAATATCTTTGAAGTATTTGTCAATGAGATTTACGAATGGTGTTAAATAAACAGAACATATTAATTAAAAAGTGTAAAAGCATCTTAATAACCATGGTATAATTAGATAACAATGAAGATTAATGCGTTTATGATTGTAAACCATGCTTAAGAAAACAATATACATATAATCTTAAAGTGTTAGTGAGTAAGTTTATTAGCAGATACAGGTAGGAAATTACTTCAACGTATATGAACTTGATAAAATAAAATAATGGAATTACTTTGACATAAATCGAGTACGCTAAGAATGTAGTTTTATATAAACACATTTTACAGTGTTAATACATAGTGAACATTAATTTCAAATTAAACTAGTCTCCACAAATAACTAAAGCTAAACAATCAGTTCAGATTTACAGCTCAGTGGTAGGAAGTTGACTGTTGTGACTTAGCAGTAAACCACTGCTATATCCATCCACAAGGAAGCTGAAAAACTTCCATCGTTTTCTATTAACTTCGTTCAGATGTTTTGTGACAGCAAACTAATAGTTCGTTATTATTATCATCGATAACTTAGAGCATTTTCCACAAGGAAAAAACAAGTAATAATTTGGTTGAATCTTATCACTAATATGCTGATTATACGTTTTGCATACACCTTAAGGGTTGACATTTTGTTAACAGATCTGTGACAAATATTTACACTAACTTAAACCATATACACTTATTTTGTAATGTTATTAGTTTTTTTGGGTTCCGGCTTATAAATAGGTATATATCCTGTGATTTTTTTTCAATAATGTATTTTTATTATTATGATGATTATAATTAATAATCAGATAGATAGTAACTTATTTGATCGGTGGATTTACTGAAACAGTTAATATAGATCTTATTAATTCGTGAAAACTTGTCACTAATTGACTAGATGATAGTAACATGTTCAGGATGAGACTAGCAGTTCATAAGTTAAGCTACTTGGTGAATCCGGCATACTTAAAGAGTAAAATCAAAATGATATAAAACAACTAACTAGACAATGAATATTGAATTTCAATAGCTTTGTGGTTGATGATGGAAATCATATTCAAGCAAAGTGATCAATTTTCGCATATAAATTGATATTAAGCCTTTCAGATCAAGATTACATACACAAACTTTGCTTTTTATATCAAGATAAAACAGCACTTTGGATATGATTGATATTTTTAAATTTTAAAATTTGAAAAACTGTATGTTTTACATTGCACTAGAGCATTCTAATGTCAAGGATAAGATACTTTAAAAAAGGAGATTTGCTAAAGTATGAGCCTTTTAAAAATGCCACAGATTACACTTGAGATCTACTACTGCACAACATTATCTACTTTCCTGTTCATATCAAACTCTATAGGGCTAGCATTCAGAAATTATCTAACACTTGAAAATCTTTGAAAATAGTGAACTATATATCAATTTGGCAAACATTATACTGTCAAAATAGCCTCATTATAAGACGATCATTACAATATCCAGTTGCTAAAACAACGACCAGAACATAAACTAATATGTAAAAAGAAAGTCTACGAGATTAGTAGAATGAGAAACAGTGGGTATAGGTAGAGATAAGTGCTATTCAGTATACTAGACCTTAAAAAGTCTTCCCAAATTGTATTGAGCAATGTAAATGAAATAACTGCGATATTCCACAGAAAATTTGAGTAAATTAAGGTTTCACAAGCCTAATATTGTATAGTAAATACTTCACACAAAAATCATACCATTCGGTAGTGGTATGTAGACCCGTTTCTCAAGACGTCTACGCAAGGCTTCATCGATGTCCCACGGGAAATTTGTAGCAGCAAGAACCATCACAGATTTTGTAGGATCTTCGTCTTGTCCTGTAGCTCCTGTCACTCCTTAAGAAGTAGAGATAAATTTACATGAAGAAAATAATTAAAGCAAGACAACAAACATATGCTTATTTGCATAACTGCCATATGAGATGCGATTTGACGCACGAATACAGAGAAATTTGTTAAAGCACAGTTTTGGAGTCCGATGTGCATTCGACAACGCTGAATAATTAAATTCGAAAGTGACAATCATCTAACACAGATACGGATAAATTTATTTCAACTGTCTCAGAATGGATACATTGGTTTCTAAAGTAGCTGTATGATATTCTATAAACGTTTTCCGAATAAAATTATTGTCATTATTATCATCATTAACGTTGAAAAACCAACGTTTCAGTGCTCCACACTTTTACAGTAATGATTTCAATGAACATTGATATAAAATAAAAAATCTATTTGATGACCTAAAGATAATCGAAATTACTAAGAGGATATTTGCAATATAAAGTAATTGACTTTTATGATTATATATAATAGCATCATGTAAGGCCAGAGACTTTATAACCACATAAAGTATATGCAACACTCCAGAACGTTAGTTGGTATCAAATAAAGTTGTGTTGTTGATTATTTACCACGTAAACTTACATCTACACATAACTGAGCAGAGGAATGATATATCACGTAAATACAGGTGTTACACAGATTCATTATGGACAAAAGATGTTATGGAAAAATCCTCTGTCTTATTCATTATCGGCCACTACCGAAATCAGATATTGGAAAAATGATTCAGTATGTATTCCACACATTTAATTATTATACACTAATTGCTCAATGCACTTGGGTCTCAGGAATTAAGACAAAACGAAAACACCTATTGATATATTTGTGAGTAGTTTAACGTTTTCAATTATATTAACTTGAAAAAGGTTTTAAAACTTTTTAAGGAACCAAATTTTAAAATTAATCGAGTGAAATATCATTCAGAATTTAATCCTATCATCATAATAATGACTAACTGAAACAACAAATAATCCTTAATACATTTTTAAAGGCAACCAGGTAGTTGAGTATACACTATTCTGAATGCGAGCAGTAACAGTAACGTAACTCAATATAAAAAGTATACATTCGGGTCATATAAGGATCAGGTCCATAAATCAATTTAATAAAGATCTATACATTAAATTCAGCGAAAATAACCATTACATGTATTGTTTACAGACTGATAGCATCATTTAGAAGTGTTAAAAACAAATAAAAGTTTTCTAAAAATTAGAGTAATTCTTTTTGAAATTTTCTTGTCCATCAAATGTAAACATACCATCCATTTGAACTAGAAGTTCAGATTTGACACGCCGAGAACTTTCATGTTCCGATTCACCGCCACGTCGAGAACAAATTGAATCGATTTCATCCATGAATATTGTGCTTGGTGCATAGAAACGTGCCATATCAAATAAAAGACGAACTAATTTTTCTGATTCACCTCTCCATTTACTTGTTAAACTAGAACTGGAAACATTGAAAAATGTAGTGCCACATTCTGTTGCTACAGCTTTAGCTAGTAATGTTTTGCCAGTACCAGGTGGACCAACCATTAATACTCCCTAGTAGAAAATAACAAACGGAAGTATACACATTAAAACACAGAAATTCGATTTTAAAAAAAAAAAAACAGTTGTGCATTTCAAAATAGGGTAGAAGTCAATTTGAATGATACAGCTCACCAATAATATACATGTTTAGGGTAAAGTATAAGTAAAGTGGAGGAAGTTCAAACAACCAAACCTAAACAAGAAATAATGCGATAAAGTAACCGTAATAATTATCACCAGAAAAATTGCCAAAACCTTTCAAAATTTATGCATGATGTTAATTTACAAAATAGATAACAATTAGGCAGAAAGAAAATATGAAGACAGACTTCAGTTCTAACAATCAAACAATAATCATTCAGAAACTGGGAAAACGGGAATAATTAAGAGTGCGATAGATAATAAATTTATTTCATTGGTGAGTGAGTGAGCTATAAAACCCGCCCTACTAATAATGTCTTACGGATGTACAATCCCAGTTAAAATTCATACGAAAAGAAATCAATGTCAATTGAGATGAATTTCTGTTACACTAAATTATTTACGGTGAAGTCTGCTCCTAGACTGATTTTCATCACATTTTTCTGATTTTTGTTTACTGAAAAATACTGTTCATAAATTATTATTATTATTATAGTTGATAAACAATTTATTAAATTAAATGTACTTTTAATTATACTTGGTTGATCATCAACAAAACTTTTATTAGCCAACTGATCTTTTTACTCTAGCTGCAGGGGTAGAAAAGAAGATAGTAGTTTCGTTCACTGTATGGAAGCTGGAGTTGCAACATATCAGCATAGAGTATAGACATATCAGAACGACAACAGAGAATTGAATTTAACGAGTGGAAATCGCTTTACAATTCAGATGATGCAAGAACTCATCAAAATACAATACAACCTAAAAAACTAAATCAGAATCGGATCATCATTCACCAGTTATTACCTATTCCAGTTCGATTAGTGTACTTGGCTTTGAACTACACTACGTATGTGGGAGATGGTGATATATAAAGACGAAAGCACAGTAAAAGAAACTTACTTTCCATGGTCTACGTATTCCTTTAAAGAAACCAGGAATAACCATTGGGAGAACTACAGCTTCTTGAAGTAAACGCTTCGCATCATCTAATGCAGCTATGTCATCCCAACGAACATTTGGATTACGTTGGACAATGTCACGTTCCAGTGTTTCTACAAGATCTCTGTCGTACCCACTGGCATCAAATTTCTCTTCATTGCTATTGCTACTAGTAGTAGTAGCATCTCCAGTGGACTGAGATCCAGATTTGACACGACGATTGTTTGCTAAATGAAGGTAATAAAATGAACCATAGATAGGGAGGGGTAGAACAAAGGAATTCCAATAAAGGAGTTTACATACGACTACTTTCCACCACCCTGTTAAATAGGTTGTCATATGATGCAGAGAAATGAGTACAAAACTTAAAGAACCACTCTAGACAAGCGTAAAAGTAGAAGTATTGAAAACACAAAAAGTATATTTGTTTAAGGAGAATAGAACATAATGATAATAACCGATGGTAAGAGACACTAAATGACATGGCTCAAAAGCGTTTGCAATGGCGCAGGTTCATTCATTATTTGCGTCCTCAGAAATTCTAATGTTCTGAATTCCTCATCACCTTTAACTTTTTCCATTTTAAGTTTATTTCACTAGAATCTACTTTTTGAATAATATGGACAAACCCTAATCCCTCCTATTACTGATGATGCTTCTGTTACCTCTACTACTGTGGGATTCGAATTGACAATTCAGTCTCTATGCTAATGGGGTACGACGACATGAACTGATGTACGTACGTACGAAGTTTGACGTTGTAACTGACTGAAATACCTCGAAATTGTCTATCAAAACAAAAGAACATGAAATTTTATCAAGAAAGTAGAAGAATTACCAGAAGGTTGAACAGTACCCTTGGATCGAGCATTCGTCGGACTAGGCTTGACATTGCGACGAAGTGACCCAGCAGTACTAGCGGTTGACTTGGAACTAACAGATGGAGGAGGGAGAGCTGGAGTATGAGCAACGGGTGGTTTGTAATAAGAACCAGAAGCTGGATTTGGTTGGACACTTGACCCAGAATTTTGAAAACTATTTCCATGTCTCCGTTCTAGGGGAGGGGGAGGCGGCCAAACATCTGGGTCTCTGGTTGGTTCTTCAACAGTTGAACGGGAACTATAGCGGCCAGTAAAAGCACTTAAACCTGAATCATCATCAGATACTTTAAAACTAGATAAGGTTTGGTTGACTTCTTTAACCAATTCATATTCATCTGTTAGCTCTTGCCGTACCTACTCCATAAACAGAAAAATGCCGATAGAAGTATTGGCTTTTGAAAAAACTATAAAGTAAATACTAGACCAATATGTGAAGTCTCATGATGTAACACAAAGACCAATACTTATCTAAAATACACTTTTTACAATGCACCGTTCCTAAAAATTATAAAACGAATATTACACTGAAGTGGTGCACAGAGAGAGAACTAAAATCTCATAGTCTGAACGCCAAAACAATCAAAAAGCTCAATCCATAATTTTATTTTAACCTATTTACCAAGTATGGCTGTATGCGTTTGATTATGTGCGAAATTAGTTGTGCAAGGTAGTGATATAATCTGATGGACAGAAGGCTTAACAGTTAAAGTAGATGACTGTCAATCAGTATAGCTGAAGTCCAAGACCTGCATCACCAACTGAGGTCTTAGTAGCCAGGGAATACCACTAGCTTTAACAACATGCTAAAGAATATTATTCAGGAATTAGTAAATAATGAAACTTACAGTTTGCCATTGTTGTTTTCGGTTTGCTTCTGAAATAGAAACAATGAACTTCTTAAGCTGAGCAAGACCAACAGAATAATATGTTAACGAACTTTCGTAATTCCCAAGCAAAGCCAATTCCCTCGCTTGCTTTACATTCTCGACTATTTCACTCAAAGACATTGTAAATAAGTTGGAGGTTGCGCTAAACTGGCGTTGGTAAGTAACAAACAAATAAGATGGGAATAAATTCATAACAAAGTAATCACTTTTGAAAAAGGGAACTGTGAGGGATATAAAAGATGAAGATACCACATAAAAATTAGTGTATGAAATTACAAAATGGTTTAATTAAGAGAGGGCAGTGTTACAAAAGATTAGATTAATACCGTTTTCCACAGTCACAGTCTGATCGAAACTTTACGACAGATTCGAGGCACTGCTCATGTGTCATGTAAAAATGGGGTGAGCAATGCTATGACAAAATGGGAAATCAGTTTTGGATTTTTTGACTGAAACAAGTGTTTTTCATATTGATACTTAAGCTGACGCGCTGTATCACACCATTTATTTCACGTGTAAATGATTAGCTAGAGTTTTATGAGGAACGCTGAATTCCGAGAATCGAAAACAAATTTACCAAACTGAAACTAAAATTAGTGCACCACCAAACAGCTTAGATAAAATGCGAATAAACATTAACATCTTGGTCGAACGAGCTTCAAAAGAGTGAGTCCTAGAAAAAAGTAGAAATCTGGTGACATGACGAAGTGGATTTTAGAATCAGTAATTAGTATCTTGGACTAAACTTCAGTTGGTATTGAATCTATATGATGACAGAAGCACATCAAAAACAGGGTGGTTTCTACGATGGCAGATATATAGATATATTCCGAACAGCATTTGTATGAGATTTGAAGAACTCACAGTACTCAAGTACACACAATCCATTAATCGAATAGGAAACAAATTTTACACGGAACGACAAGCTACTCTAATTCGTTAGTTGTGCAAATTTGACTTGCGCTCAGTTTGAGTTTCAGATCATAAATCTCAGACAATATAAACCAAAACTTTGAGCGATGTTGAGTGATTTTGGGACTTTTATGAGCACAAAATTTGTATATATTAGAAATTTTTAGCCAGACAGCTAGAGATGATTGACTAGAAATCGTGGATTGATATGAGCGAGTCCTTTAAGTTTTAAACGATATAACATACCTTACAATTACAGCTGAAACTACAAAAAAGTACATTTTAGTAAGCACAAGAACTTCTTCATGTTTTTATAAGGTTATAAAAGATTTTTATCGCTTAATACAGTATACATCCAGACTTATTGAAAGGTTTATTTCCGGTTAAGAGACTATGAAAACAAATCTTTGTTTTTAAGCAATTTACACACAGAGACGTAGATTATAGGACTACTTTCCTACTGCCTTTGCTGGTTTGGACTGGGAGGTCAACTCAACCAACTTACTATCACTGGTAACCTTGAAAAGTTATAATGACCGGTTCGGTTCCAGCTGTTCGGCAGTGTCCAAAGAATGGGGGTAGTTTGTGGGTTTGAGTGTTCCATGATTTGGATGGATAAGTTTGTTTCAGGCAGTAAAGTTGCTGAATCCCAGCAGCTATCACATTATCAAACCGGAGGTAGGTTAGTTTCAATGTGGAGAATGATAAAGATACAAATCCAATGCTAATAAGAATAAGAATCCAGAACTAAGTAAATAAATGGGTAATTTAGTTTATTAACTGGTAGTGAATACTAAACGAGGGGACCGAAAGGTAATCAAGGGATAGGAAACAGAGATAATAAGCGATATATATTATGTTAGTAATTTGGGGAGATGGCAATAATATCAACTAGCAGGTCTCAAGAGCTGCGTCAATAATAGCTGGTAGACAAGGGGGACAATTGATCAGATTATGAATACGCGTTTATCTAGTCTCTTCTTAAAGCTGTCCACTGAGGGATTTTCAGCCACTTCCACTGAGAGGGTGTTCCAAGTTGCAACGACTATTGGTGAGAAAAAGTGTGGGTGAACCTAGTCGTTATCGTTGATTACCTGGAGGGGTGTGATGGTGATGCGACGCTAAGTTACTCACGTTGAGATGGTTTGGCATGCCTAATATGGTTTACGCCATTATCAGATCACATCTGATTCTCTAGTAACTCAGGGAGAATAGTCCTAAGTGCTGAAGTCTATATTCGTAAACTCTATTTTTCAACCCTGTCAACAATTTCGTTTGCTCGTCTCACTAGTAATTCAGAAGATGTTTGGGGGAGAAAATACCACTTGCACTTAAAACCGTGAAGAGAAAAGGTATGGAAAGATATTGCGTGAGAAACTATGTAAAGTGAGTAGATCGCTGGAATTATCCCAGAGCTAAATGTAAAAGAAGCAACTAGGTACGATCCGGACTTCGAATCATCCTAACTAGATTGCATTATAACCCATTTGCGGATAACATCTCGAATCTCTATTATATACCACTCTTGCGTAATGCGACCATGCAGTTCTAGTTTTCACTTACTATATCGTTATCATCAACGATATGCTAGTTCACATGTGCGAATGTTAGGTATGCAGGAAAGCAAACACTCAACAGGTACTAGGTACAGGACAATGAAACCAAAGACTGCTTGTGAGGTATTCAGGAATTTGTACATCATGGTTACTGGACCGCAAATCCCTTGTACTACACCAAGGAATCCAAAAAATTCTCTATCTTGGCTCAGGAAGAAGAAACGCACTCTCTTCCATAAGAGGGAGAAAATGTAGGCAAACATTTAGGACAGTTGGCATTGGCGAGTCAAGATAGCCGCAGGTCTAGAAGTTTGTATAAAGTAAATATGATAAAGGTGTTTATGCAATTCCCAGACGCTTGCACTTTCACATAAACCTGCGGACTAAGGGAATAGGCAGCATACCAGCATATTAATAATAGTAATATTTAGTCCCAATAACTACGTTACAAGAGGCATGCCAGTTTACAAGCTGGATCAATTTGTCACAGATGCCTTCACATTTACTGCAAACGTTATCGCAGTTATATTAAGTAGCACATTTACACCATGTTACTGGCAGAAACAATATATTACAGCCAATTTTCAGTAGGAGAGTGCAAATAAGGAGGGTGCACAGTAGGTTTCTTTGGCGGTTTGCTGATATCAATAGTGAATTTGTTCGGAAAGGTCAATTAGAACGCGCTTGATACGAGCTGTGATCCAGACAGTCATGGTCATAAGGTGCATGTTCCTTAGAGGCGCCAAGGATTTCTCACCGTGAATAGGGTACTGAAAAGGGAGAAAAGAGAGAGAGAAAAAAGGCAGCAGTGTGACAAGTGTATACACATACATTACAAGATGTCAGTAAATCAAACTTCGTAATTCGACCCCTAATTTCATGAGCAAAGAAAGTGATAATATGCTTTGCAAACCGAACATAAAAGTTTCTGCGTTCAGTAGGAGGTTTGTAATGGGATGGGCTCAGTCTTACTGAGTAAAAGAAAAACGTAGTTCTGTGAAGAAAGTTTTTCTCGATGATTTCGTCCACTTAAACTGCATAGTTAATTTTGTTTGCTAAAGCAGACCAACAATTGTAAAAAATTTTATATATGAGAGATTTAAATTATTCTTTCATTATCCGCCATATAAATAACAATGTCATTTGCACCCAATGCAAGTTTAATAGCCGTCACCAATTAGCCAAATTCAGGATGGAATCATTAGACATTTTTAGGTAAAAATGATCAGAGATTCCGCTCTAGAACTTCAAACACGAGCTTCTAAATGTAATTTACGTGCGAAGCTGCAAATCCAAATACGTGGCTACCTGACTGCAGCAACAGATGATCGTTACCTAGATAACCAGCTGACACAACTTCCTTCTTGCACTTTTGTGTTATTTCTGAAGATGTTAATAATGATCCTCAAAGTGTTACGATACGAAATGTTGTATTATTATCAACTATGAATAAATCTACAGAGATCAGAGATCTTTTTACCTGAAGATGTCCTATTTCATTCGGGTAAGTGAATAGTTTGGAAAGTACTTTCAGTTTGCCCTTAGATGGCAAAACATGTCCTTTATGTGGTGAACTTTATCTTTATGTTACTTGTCTGTTAAATTACTTGTACAGGTAAGTCCCAATCATTTATCGTTGTTGCAGGTTGATTAGAGTCAATTATATCTAAGAAAAATTCGTCGTTTCCCCTTAATGATGTTGGTCACTTTACCCAGAAGCCGGTAAATTTATTATCTGACAAATATCGACAAGATATTTGCACATTTCCCTCATAAATTCTTATTATACGCACACCTCCATTTATCTTGCACTGGATCTCAGCCATTAGTTCTTCATAGTAACATAACTTTCGTAACTCGCGCCAGCCATCACGTTGCACATTGCAGAGTCTGAAACATCACCTATAATTTTATGCATAAAATTTTAGCCTTACATTTGAAGTCGATTTATCTTGTGAAATAGTTAGGCGACTGAACAACATTTTGCAGAAAATATGTTAGCAATTTTAACATTTTGATCTTGCCTGTAAATTGGCATACATCTTGTGACATGTTGTTATTTGAGAATAAATTATTATCATTAGGCTGCCATACAATAAACCTATGTACACTCCTTGACCTGCATCATTCGAATCATGGTTCCTTAGTTATTAATGTTTCATTTTCCAAATGGCCAGAAGAACTTTACTCAAAGAGCAATAAAGGAATACTCAACGCACTAGTAACTGATAATGGAACTAAATAGTTAAAAAGACCGAGCGACATTTCAGAAGCACCAACACATCACTACATTATCTATTAACCAGTCTACATTTTCGTGTGAAACATATTATATAAAGATATCTTTTTCGAAAGCCATGATCGAACGTTTCTTAGCCTGGTTTTCTAAAAGACTGCAGGAGCCAGACGAAAGGATAGGAAGGCCCAAGGCGTAGTAGGTTGGAGAATGCTTGTTAGTGGCCTATGCTACGGTAGGGGTAACAGGCGTATGTAAGTTAAGGGGTTGAAATATCTATCAAAATCTGACAACTCCAATTCACTAGCAGCGTTCACCATGATGTGACACAGTTTAAAAAATCAATGCAAAAGAAATGCAAGTATAGAACCAATGTACAGCAGGTGCTATTGCTATTCACGAGTTAGAGCATGAACTATGCGTACGGAAAGAGTATTCTAGTTCTTCTTCTACAGTATTAAACTTTCACTTCTTTCGTATTCCATGAACTATTGTTTGACTGCTTTTGTATGAGACCTTAGACACCACCTTATTCAGAATACCTTGTAAAATATTAGATCCCTCGTTCGAAACAAGTACCTCACAACCTTTTGATGCACGTCACTCAGCAGAGATGTTTTGCTCCCGCCAACTGTCAAGGGCGATATTCTCACGTTGTTGAAGCCTTCGTGTACATACTGTAATTGGATGGATGACAATTAATCTTCACCACTAGTAATCCTTTTAGTTGTTATTGCTTCATACCTGGTCTTACCAACTGATCGGCAGATAAATCTGTAGTGGTATCCCTTTACGAAGAGAACACAATTGCTGAAATTGAACCACTTGTTATTGTAAACAGTCATAACCATAACTGTTCTATTGTACTCCTTTTTGTTTAACTGTACAAAAGATCACAGCTAGCGCGTCCAGCGTGTTACTCTCACTGCTCGTTTATCCCTGGTGGTCGTTAGCTACTGCTTTATTTCGGTCTTGATATAACAAGCCAAATAGGCATAGTTATCAAGCATATACTCCCGCTTTCTCCTCTTCGTACCATGACATAGCGAACAGATCGTCAAGTCTCTCTAAAATATAGGTGCTTACCCTAAGTAACAATCACTTCAATCACTTCCCGATCCATACACAGTAAAATGACTCGTCCATGCTCCCAGATAATTTTAGACAAACCATCACAGAAAGTTGGCTGTTTTCCGATGATACCAACTCATAGCTTTTAATAGACACTTGCGGACTCCTTCGATGTGACCGAGGCTTTGAAAAGAGCGCTGATTATCTTTCACATAGAATCAGAAACGTTTAATGAGACTGTCCTTGATGCAAGACCTGACACGTATGGCCTACTGTCCACGTTCATGAACTTAAAATACTAATTGGATGCACTTGTCGAGCTTAAGACACTCATCAATCGGATGACACTACTATTAGTGACCTCGTTTAAATTCTCCTGCGAAATCACTTGTGGTAATTTCAGTCTCCCTGGAATCAACTGACAGACACACTAGTCCACTGCGCTTTGATAGCATACTTAGTGCCTCGGATATTCATGGCTATTAGCGACATGCACACCTGCCTACAAAAAACCACAATATTTTGGACCTAATATTTTGTCATGGCGTCGTACCAACATCTTTGGTGGTCATCGGAAAGTTTCCCAACAGCGATCATAAAACAGTCTTCTGCACTAAACCGTTTGTGACATAATGCGAAAAATCCAAAACAATAAGAATGCATTTTCAACACAGAGATTATGAACAGGCTGACCGAGAAAGCTTCTAATTCATAAGCTGGCACTACGAATGAGTTATAATTATTATAATATATATTCTCAAATAATAGTGTGTAAAATGAGGAACGGTAATTTGAAGCCAATCCACCTTGATACACTTCAGAACCCAGTCCGTAACTTGAAGACTATCTAATTACAATTCACTTAAGTTATAGCAACTAGTATGAGTCTTATCTATTTACTTACCATTACTTTGTCTGCTACAATATGAACTGCCAAACAATTTTATGGTCATATATTAAATTGCCATGCTGGCCTTTTTTACTTTTCTGAGCCTTATAAGCTTACTTACTTACTTACGCCTGTTACCCTCAATGGAGCATAGGCCGCGCACCAGTTTTCTCCAACCAACTCTGTCCTGGGCTTCCCTCTCCAGTTCTGTCCAATGTTTGTTCATTCTTCTCATATCTTTCACTATTTCTCGGCGTAGTGTGTTGCTTGGCCTTCCTCTTTTCCTTTTGCCTTGAGGGTCCCATGTGAGGGCTTGTCTCGCGACGCAGTTAGGTACTTTCCAAAATGTGTGTCCTATCCATTTCCACCGCTTCTCCCTGATTTCCTCCTCCAACGGAATCTGGTTTGTTTTCTCCCACAGTTCGTTGTTGCTGATGGTGTCTGGCCAAAAAATACGAAGTATTTTGCGTAGACAGCTGTTCATAAATACTTGTATCTTCTGGATGATGGCTTTCGTAGTTGTCCAAGTTTCCGCTCCATACAGTAGAACTGTCTTCACATTTGTATTGAATATCCTGGTCTTGGTTGAAAGTTGTTTGGAGTTCCAGATATTTTTCAACTGTAGAAATGCAGCCCTTGTTTTGCCAATCCGCACCCTCACATCTGCATTGGATCCACCTTTCTCGTCGCTGATGCTACCCAGATATGTAAAGGTGTTAACGTCCTCCAAGGAATCTCCATCAAGCGTGATTTGGTTGTTGCATGTTTTGTTGTGTCGTAGAATCTTACTTTTCTCTTTATGTATGTTGAGACCTACTGCTGATGAGGCTGCTGCTACACTGATCGTCTTTTCTTGCATTTGTTGTTGCGTGTGTCTAAGTTATTGCTGTTCAATGAGAAATTCTCTATATGACCAACTGTTATGCATTTCAAGTCTTTCTTATGCATATTTTTATTGATAGTGATGAAGATATTTTATGAGTGCATTATTAAACTGATTTTCTCTCAGAGTATTTTTATCCGACATAAATTTCTTTCATTTTCTCCTAATCGACATTTTATTCACCTAAATGCAACTGTTTATAATATTTAAAATAAAACATTTATTTGGCGGTTTCGGTAAAAATTCTTTCTTTTCTTTCCAATGATCGAAAAACCATAGAATTGATTTGATGAATGAGATATGAAACAGCTGTTTCAAGACTAGATGATTATTCATGCATTTATTTTAGATTTAGAATACACATAAAATCAAATTTTCACTAACGTATATGACCACATGTAAAGGTGTTAACGTCCTCCAAGGCATCTCCATCAAGAGAGATTTGGTTGGTGCATGTTAGGTTGCATCGGAGAATTTCGCTTCTTCCTTTATGTATGTTGAGACCTACTGCTGCAGAGGCTGCTGCTACACTCGTCGTCTTCTCTTGCATTTGTTGTTGCGTGTGCGATAGAAGAGCCAAGTCATCTGCGAAGTCCAGATCGTCCAGCTGCATCCTAACTGTCCAGTTGATACCGTGCCTCCATCCAGATGTTGACGTTTTCATAATCCAGTCGATGACCAGAAGAAAGGGTGAGAGTAAGCAACCTTGCCTGACACCGGTCTTCACCTCAAAAGAGTCTGTTAGCTCTCCTTCGTGTACGATTTTGCAGTTGAATCCATCATAAGAGTTCCGTATGATGTTAACTATTTTCTCAAGCACCCCGTAGTGTCGAAGAAGCATCCACAGTGTTTTCCTGTCCACGCTATCGAATGCTTTCTCGTAGTCGATGAAGTTGATGTAGAGTGGTGAGTTCTATTCTATTGATTGTTCCACAATGATCCGTAATGTAGCAATTTGGTCAGTACTCGATCGATCCTTACGAAATCCGGCCTGTTGATCTCGAAGTTGCACCGGTGTCTACAAAGTCCTTCATTCTGTTTAACAATACTCTGTTGAAGACTTTGCCTGGTATTGAAAGAAGAGTGATGCCTCTGTAGTTCTCAAACCTACTCAGGTCGCCTTTCTTTGGTATTTCGATCAGGTATCCTTCTTTCCAATCTGATGGTACTTGTTCCTCACCCCAAATCTTCTTGAAGAGGATGTAAAATATTCTCGCTGTTGCTTCTACATCTGCTTTCATTGCCTCTGCTGGAATGTTGTCTGGTCCTGCTGCTTTGACGCTCTTGATTTGTCTGATGGCCATACTGATCTCCTCAATTGTAGGTGCACCAATATTGATTAGGAGGTCCGTGGATGCTGCTTCGATGTTGGGTGGGTTCAGTGGAGCTGGTCGATTCAGGAGTTCCTGAAAGTGCTCTACCCACCTGTTGCTGATTACTTTGCCTTTTTTGCTTTTCACAGGTCGTGACGGTTTCCAGCGAGCCTTTTTGTTGTATCGTACAATTGCCTCAAGTTTCCGCCTCTTGCAGCCTTTTCCGCCGTCATTGCTAGATCTCCCACATATTTTCGTTTGTCAGCTCTGATGCTCTTCTTCACTCCCCTGTTTGCTCCTGTGTATGCAGCTTGTGCCTTAACTTTGTCTGCTCTTGCTTGATTGATGTTCTCTTGTTCCTCCTTTCTTCAGTTTTTTCAAGAGTATCAACAGAGATCCATTCCTTGTGATGCTGCTTCTTGCGACCAAGGACCAAGCTAATAAAATCGTGTTTTAATGGGCAAGCAATTGGGATAATCTTCAACTTAAATACGACCTAATACCAACAGTCAAAAATTGTGGCTATTCTCTAGCTTTTTTATTTACAGAGACACACTTTTCCAGTCAAAATAGTCAATCGCTTACTGCTAGTCAACAAATCGTTGCAATGAATTATCATAACGTTATTCAAGTGTCAGTTTTTGGTAACGTTGGATACCCGAACTTTACAAGCTATAAGGAATAAAAGTTGTTACGTATGTATGACTGAATATAATTTCTTGATGAGCTTAGCCGGCTTCCTTAAAATAACCGTCCTTTATTTTGAAGGTAAGTTGATTTATATCAAGGGAATTATTGATCAGTTTGAGTACATCATGTCACAGCCTAAATTAAATTAGGAAAAGAAACATTATTTGATCCGCAAACTATAATTTTACTGTTCAAACATATTCTAGAATATTCGTACACTCACCGGTCACATGAATTTACGCATAGAGAAGCTGTGGAAACAAAGTTGAATTTTGCTTTAGACTGCACTATTTTGTACTGCTAAAGTTTCAACATACGAAATTTGTTTGTAATTCCGAATAAATTCATTGATTTTTCAAACGAAGTTGTGCGCAACTAATGGCGCGAGCGAAATGCTCCGACATATTGATTTCGTAATATCTGGTTTATGAAAATATTAAATGACTTCAAAATAAGAACTTACATAGTCGTCAATTATAAGCGAAAATCAGAATAATTTAGGTGACGTGGGCCTTTTATCTTAGAAAAATTGCTTTTGGTAACAGCGAGAATTTTAAAATTACTCCACGTGATTACTGTATATTTCTTGAGATGTGTATGCGGTTTGAGTGCCGGAAATTGGCTTTCACTGGAGGTGACCATATACGTGTAACCATACGAGCATTTCAAGAGGTAGAGCAGACTCCCCTCCACTTTCAACCGTATTCAGGCAACTGGTGCTAACTTTTTGTTGTTAACAAACACCTTTAATCAGTGATTAATCTAAACAAGTAACCAAAACTATGTAAAATGCCATTTATTGGTGAAAATTACGGAAGAAACGTTATGTTATTTCGATTAAATAGGTCCACTTTACACATTGATATTATTTGTCTATGTATTAGATATAATAAACACTTAATGAATATTTATTAGTAAAATCACGAGAAAAGCCTTGTCAAAAAATGAATTAATTTTCGAATACTAATTTGCTGATCGGGGCAGCTGAAACATGTTATTCTACAGGAAAGACTTTGAGAGCAAACCAGCTACGGAAACATCCAATAGATATAAAAAGCAATCCTGAATTATACATCTAATGTCAAGTTCATATTATCAAAAAAGCTAGGTTTTCATACAGACCAGTAATATAAACTAATAAAGTACTCCTTACAAGTAACATCGTTCACAATAAATCAATCGTCACTTTCACATATCCACTGTGCAGTCTACTCAGTGATACTCCAAAGCCGATTTACGTTCAATACCTCAACGAGAAAGGAAAATGTAATACAACTACCTAATCCATACTTTCAACATGGAACGGATAACTAAGATATGTAAGACGAAAAACATGTAGGAATGTTTTTATACATGAATATGACATGAATAAATAAACAATAATTCGAAGATAATGAGAACTAATACAATCAGAAATAAAGGGTAAAAATAGGACAACCCCTGAAATATTATTTTCTAGCAGTCTCCAAGAACATTAAACAATAAATGAGTGTGAAATGGAAATCGTTCAGAAGAATGGTCTGCATGAATCGATAATCTGTCGACAAATAAAAAATTGAGAGAAACATGATTTAAAGTATCGAGGTGGAGATCACATGAGAATGTTTACAATCCGACTGACTGAAGAATGATTTAGAGCAGTTAGTACAAAAAGGAGAATAAACGTTTTTACAATCACAAAGGGTTGAAGCCAATAAAAGCAGCATATACGCACCATATCGCTATCGGTATCGCTATGTGACGGAGTGGACTATGGCCTCTTTGAACAGAACGAGCAATAGCTTTTTGTGTCTCATCCAATAAAAGTACGGGTATGGAGATTTTCAATACAGCAAGCCACTCTGTAATATTCAGTGCAGCTATTTGGAATATATTCTGAAATATAGTACAATGCAATGTAGAAAATATCATGGACAAAGCTAAATTAATGAAATAGTATGACTGACTGATTTTGATAGTGGTTTCTACAACTCTGTTAGCTTTTGTTTTTAATCTTTAGGTATCCTTCATTTTAACCAACCCTGTTGGTTCGTTCTACTTCTACGAATAAAAATAGTGATTTATTTTAACACGAAAGTACTTTTTAATTTATGGGAACTAAATAGATAATAAATTATATAAAGTATTCAATAAATGTGAAGTTAAGACACAATCGTAAGCAGACTTTTCTTATCGGCATCTATTGCCAAGATGAAAGTCCTTCTTAAAGGTGTAAATGACTACCACTTCATTCAAGGATGTTAAAAACCTTTTCAAACAACTCTATCTGTCCAGAAGTTCACTACTGTCCTTAAGAAGAGATGGGGATTAGGATAGGTCTGTCTGTCTGTCTGTCGACTCATGAATCTCGAGAAGTTGGTGTTCTTTGTTAACTTTCATCAATTGATACCTGCAATCAGGTACAGAACAATCTGACCGACATCGCCGAGGCAACAACCAACTAAACTGTTTCTTAAATGGTTTTGTCCATCGTCTGAGGTCATTAGCTGTTATATGTTGATGTCTCATCAGATTTACAAGATGTTTTATTCACACAAGAATTTTCGCTACTAGTGGCTAGGATGATTTGAAAGAGCTTTCAACAGTTACCACGCTCGAACTACTACGCGAGCTTTGTGTAATTTTATTAAGCGAGAATCTCCGTTTATTGCCAAACTTTCGGAGAGCCGGAGTAGACCGATGTGCCTCAATGAATTGTAAGGAGCCTTCATAAAACCCAACACTCACAAGATGGACATTTTCAGAACCTACAAGTGACTTTACTCGCTATTTTTTGTGTTGCGATGCAAACGAAGTCAATGCTGATCTACACCTTTCAATGAATTGAAACTAGTTTGCTTTGATAGTTAGTTACATCCGATTCGTTGATATCGATCTGTTTAGGAGTTTGTTGACCACCAAAAAGTACTATATAATTAGTGAAAACGACGGCGTAACCACAGTCCAAATAAACACTAAAAAGTGAGTCTTGTACACAGCCCCTTTAGTGGTAGCTTCTCACGATGCATTCAATCTGAGTCCAGTCTTCAGATGTAGAGAGAGGACTCCAGATAGAATGAGTTTTCATTGGTCGCCGAAACGACTTTCCTGAGCCTAGATGTCCGACGTATGCATTCGGATCTCCGACTAGCAATACATTATGTCAGATGTGCTTTCTGGAAATCACTTAATTGGTGATAAAATTTATCTTTCATTTAATTAGGACCGCAGTCTGTCAGGGCTGACAGAAATCGTGCAACCACATAAGGGTAATTGAAACAGACACCTAGAAGTGTTTACAAATTAAAATTCTGAAACCAGAACCTAAATAAATGGATGATTAAAGTTCAAAATATGAACAATAAAACTGAAAAACCTACCGCTAGCACGTTTATGTACAAGATCGCAAAATGTAGCGTCATACTAAAACAGATAGCAGCGATAAGCCACATATTGTGCCAAGGAGGCATGACCAGAAGTGACTGATTCTCAGAAAGGCTAATAAAATAAGCACATAAAAAAATTACCTGAGACGGATGACGTGATATTTCCATGAAAGATCATTTATTAAAAAAACAACTTTTGCTCAAAACATTACGACTCCATTTACCATAAAAGTTATTCCATGAGCTGCTCTATTTTTGAAAGACTTCTATAACCTAACCAACCACAAGTACACAAATATAACATTTCTTAATGGAGATGATTCGCTTTGCGCTACCCGGAGTAATGACAACAAACTTGGTATTCCATTCCACTATATAATTAATTCACAACAAAGATAGTTTAAAATAATGATCTGATTTATACATCAACAGAAGAAAGTGAACAATTTGCCAACGTAAACACTAGTGAATAAGATCTGTTTTGTTACAGAATAATTTGATTTGTTTCTTTACTGAGCTAAAGATTAAAAAAACAAGTTACCTGTTTAATGCGTTAAACATCTCAATTAAAACCAACACCGATAAAGCCATAGTCATTGGTTTTGGACTGGCAAATACGCCACAATTAACTCCTTTGAATAAAGAAGGTTCTAACTGGCATTGTAAATGATGCGTCTATAAAACGGAAACTGTGTTTTAATTCTAAGGTAAATATAAAAAGGAAAACTAAGACTGAACAGAAAAAAAATTATGGTGTTGGTGTTATAAAGTGATTTGAAATGAAAGGACGTACAATCACTAAATGAACGGTAAATAAAATTTGACGGAAAACATTCTTGAGGTATTTGATATGTTTTTTTGATCAATAGACGAATGAGTCCCGAACAATGCTCTCAAAGAAGAACAAGACTAGCAGTTACTTTCTTAAGTGATTATGCTATTAGAAGTCGAGTAATATAAGAGAAATAAACTAGTACGTGATTGACTTGAAGAATATATAAGTACATTTCAGATAAAAGGTTGGGTGTAGTTACGTGAATTTCTATAGGGAAAGAGAAGAATTACCGTGTTGAATTCTTTTTGCTTTCACATAGATTTTCAGAACCGTATACGACCGTTTCTTTAAGATTAGTACTTCGCCTGTTTTTTTATAGATTATAACTAGTCGGCCAAAATATTTTACACTGTTTCGCAGAGACGCAAAGAACAAGTACACGAGAAAAGTAGTGGGCGTAGACAAACATCACACAATTTCATTTACTGACAGTTATATTAAGTAGAAACAACCATAAGTAAGATGAAAGCTTCAATAAAAATGATGGACATGCAATATATGTTGCTCAGAATATATATGTAAATTGTATAAAAATAGAAAAATGCGTTTTCATAAGAAATGTACATACCAACTGGTAATAGTTTACTTTAGGACCCTCCTCATAGATCATGAACCACCAGGCTGCTGCTCCAACTGTTGCACAGCCAACATAGATACCTATTAACATGTATCGAAGAAATAGCCATCCAGAAATTAGTGGTTCTCTGCTTTTACGTGGTGGTTTAGTCATTATGTCGACATCGGGAGGATTAAATCCTAAAGCTGTAGCAGGTAGGCCATCAGTAACTAAGTTAACCCAAAGCAATTGTACAGGAATCAAAGCCTCAGGCATTCCGAGAGCAGCAGTCAGGAATATGCAAACAACTAACGGAACACAGTAAAGAAAAAAGATCAGAAACATGGGTTATGATAAAAAGTTTATGGTAAGTCTAGAGTATAATAAGTTGCAATACTTGTGTTAAATATGGAGAATTATTTACATATATTCGCTAAGTTGAGTTTTCCCTTGTGTTGACAGCAGCAAAAGTGTGTCACATTAGAAATATCCAGGTTGCAATCAAATTCGAACTATTTTGTAATGAAGGATAGATATAGGTTAAGACTTCTTGAGTTGAACACATGGATCAATAACTTAAGCGATTACAGTATTCAGAAAGCAACAAAATCAATAGTGTCGACCGTGTGGATGAAAACCCGACCGTAGCTGCTACCTTGACGTGGTGGTTGAGCTTGCCTATCGTGATGACCCAACCGATCTATATTGGCTGGAACACATGTTCCTGAAGGTTCTACCATGCCAGGCAGGTCGATTGGAGAACGATGAGACTAAAAGCAGCTACCCAAGGTCTGAGGGCGAAGTCGTACTGCTGACTGCAGAGGGGTGTGACAGCAGTAAGGTGTTTCCCTCGGACAACCAGCATCTGCAGCGATGCTGCCTTCTCACAAGGAAGGAAGGGTTAGAAAAGGTCGACCCTAAAAATGTCACACCTCCCCTACCTCACGGATTTCCGTCTCCTTGGGTAAGGGTGCCCACTAAGGGCCTTTAAGAACGGAGCTAATCCTCAAAAACTTCTCATAAAAAGGCCGTGCGTGACCGGCCTCAAGCAGTTGTCCCTTGGACTCTGCGGTCACGCACCAACACTAATCCATCTTCCTTTTCAGGTTCGTCAAGAAACAACCTTCCACGGTGTGGGCAGCCGGGAAGTGATAACCGCCCTCATACCCGCAACAGCACACGAGACAAAATTGTTCAAAATCAAATCCTTCCTACATTCCCTAATACCTCTCTTATCTCCACGACTAACTCTTCTCACATTCATTTATCACAGTGCACAGCTAATGCAAACGATGCGAGTTCGCGAAACGTCGTTCCTGGTCTCCTTAAACCCCGTTCCAAACTACATGTTGGAGCATTCAATGTACGGACATTGTGTCAAATAGGGCAACAGGCATCATTAGCTAGGACTTTAGAATCTCGTGCCATCGATGTGTACTGCGTCTCGGAAACGCGCATACAGGATCCGAGTAGCATCATTCACTTGACCTCACCATGTCAAGATAAAGAAGCAGCTCGATTTACCCTTCGTGTATCCGGTAGCCCTGATGCTGCTTCTAGGGGCCTCGCCGGTGTAGGTATAGCATTGAGTCGTAGGGCAGAACAATCTCTCCTTGACTGGATCCCTGTAGATAGTCGCTTGTGCGCCGTCCGACTGAACGGGACAGTAAGGACTCGGAAAGATAGGGACACTCGCCGTTGCCTCTTCGTCATATCAGCCTACGCCCCCACTGACTGCAGCCCAGATGATGTAAAAGATGAGTTTTACAGAAAGCTTTCGGACCTCCTCCAAAAAGTTAAGCGCTCTGATATAGTTATAATGGCTGGTGACTTCAATGCACAAGTAGGTAGACTAAGTGAAAATGAAAGACACCTAGGTGGATGTTACGGTCTCGCGGCTCAAAGAACAGACAATGGCGACCGTCTGTTGCAACTGTGCTCAGATAACCAACTTTTTCTAGCAAACACTAATTTTAAGCATAAGGAAAAACACCTTTTGACCTGGCGACCCCCGAAGTCGTCTCAACGTTGGACACAACTAGATCATATCGCCATCAGCCACCGATGGAGGGGTTCGATAGAGGACTGTCGCTCGTTCTGGGGCACATGTTTAGATTCAGATCATGCCCTAGTGCGAGCACGTATTTGTTTGAGGCTTGCTGGACGTAGGAAAGACACCGTAAGGAAGCCTCTTAGGGCTTTACTTGATGATAATCAAGCTAAGAAAATATTTCAGGAGGAACTAGAAAAACAGTTAGGCGGCCATGCAAGTGATTCCCATCCTGAAGCAGGTTGGAATGATATCAAGAAGGCTGTGGAAACAGCAGTGGTATCTGCTAGCAAGGTAAACCACAAGGCTAGGATGAAGCAGTGGATTTCAGTCGCATCCACCGAACTGATGGATGCTCGAAAACGCATCCCACCTGACTCTGAACATGATGAAGAGCGTAGTCAGCTTAGGCGCAGACTTATAAAAAGCCTACGTAACGACCGTGAACAGTGGTGGGTGGCGAAAGCAAAAGCGATGGAAAAGGCAGCGGCGATAGGCAACACTAGACAACTTTTCCGCCTTATTAAAGAAACCGGTATTAGGAACCCGAATGTGAGTGAGACTATCTCGGAAAAGGATGGTCTTATTATCCATTCTCAATCTAGGAGGCTGGACCGATGGGCAGAACACTTTAGGGATCAGTTCAACTGGCCTTCAGCCACACTTCGGTTGCCCACGATCTCCAGTCATCCTGAATGGCAAATCGATTTAAGTCCTCCCAGTTTACATGAAGTTGAGAAAGCTATAGGAAATCTAAGGGAGGTAGAGCGGCAGGTCCTGATAGGCTTACCCCTGAGATGTTTAAGGATGGTGGTCCAGTTTTAACGGTTAGACTGACCGAGATCCTAGGTAGAATCTGGGAAATGGACGTAATCCCATCTGACTGGTCTCAGTCGCTAATTGTCCCAATCTACAAGAAAGGACAGAAGTCCTCTTGTGACAATCACAGGGGAATAAGTTTAACTAATATAGTTTCTAAATTGTTAGCCTCGATTATACTTAGACGTCTAACTAGAGCTCGCGAAGAGCAGACTCGAGAAAACCAGGCTGGTTTTCGACCTGGACGTGGTTGTATAGACCACATCTTCACACTACGACAGGTCCTGGAACACAGACACACATTTAGACGTCCGACAATAGTCGTGTTCCTGGACCTTAAGGCGGCATTCGACTCAGTGGATCGTGAGGTTCTGTGGCAGTGTCTGTCATTGAAAGGTGTACCAAAGAAGTACATTAACCTTATACAAGCACTCTACTCGAACACCACTGGTCGGGTGAGAGCATATGGCGAACTGTCATCTGAATTCTCTACATCAAGTGGTGTCCGTCAGGGCTGTCCACTCTCTCCATTCTTGTTTAACTTTGTCGTAGACATCCTCTTAGAGTTAACATTAAGCTCGTCAGATTTTTCAGGGGTTGACCTTCTACCAGGAAAGTCGCTTACTGATCTAGAATATGCCGATGACATAGTTCTATTCGGTGAAGACGCTGACAAAATGCAGAGTCTTCTGACTACCATAAGCAACAATGCGAGCATGTTCGGGATGCGGTTTTCCCCCTCGAAATGCAAAATGTTGCTTCAAGACTGGGTTGCTTCGGCACCTGAACTAGTGATAGGGAGTGAAGTAGTCGAGCGTGTTGATCACTTCACTTATCTGGGGAGTCTCATCAGTGCTGACGGTCTGGTGACTGACGAAATCTCAGCTCGGATACAGAAAGCTCGATTGGCTTTTGCCAACCTGCGTCACTTATGGCGTAGGCGTGATATCCGTTCGCTAACCAAAGGGCGGGTGTACTGCGCAGCAGTTCGTTCCGTTCTCTTATATGGCTGTGAAACATGGCCGTTAAGAGTAGAAGATGTTCGTAGGTTACTAGTATTCGATCATAGATGTTTAAGAAGCATTGCTCGTATATCGTGGGACAGCCGAGTAAGCAATGCTGTCGTTAGGAAACGAGTACTAGGTAAGGATGGCAGATCAATAGATGAAGTGGTGAAACTTCATCAGTTGAGGTGGTTGGGACATGTGTTACGTATGCCTAACCACCGACTGCCTCGACGAGCTATGTTTTGTGGTGTAGGAGTAGGTTGGAAGAAAGCTAGGGGCGGCCAGACCAAAACATGGCAGAAATCCATGAAGTCACTGACAAGTGGACTGAGTCATGTTGGTAGATGTAGACTACCTGGTTGGGGTCCGCGAGACGAAAGTCATCAATGGTTAGAGACCTTGAACGACATGGCTCAAAATCGTTTGCAATGGCGCAGGTGCATCCACTCTTTGAGCTCTCTCAAATCCTAATCTTCTGGATTAGTCAGCACCTCTACCTTTGTCTTTCTAACCTTATCTCACTGAATTATATTTTTTGAATAATATCTTAAACCCTAGTCTTCTTTATTATAACATTAATACCTCTACCATCTTTATCACTATGGGATTTGATTTGACATTTGCGTCTCTGTGCTAATAATGTGGTATGGCAACATGAACTTATGTACATACGTACGAAGTTCTACGTTGCAACTGACTGACTGACTGACTGAC